TAGGCTCTTCGTTATTTGTGTGGAGGAAGAAAATGGGATGTGTGAAGGGAAAAGCCGCCCGTGGCTTTAAGTCTCAGGCACTGCTTTATTTGTGAGTCCAATGTGATCGCTCGACTGCTCATTTGATTTTTGTTCTTTGAGCTACTTACATCCACCTTTTTGTGTGTCTGTTTTTTTGAGATGAGGTTTCATGTAGCTTTGGCTAACCTGGGACTCCTTCCTGATCCTCCTGCCTCCACCTCCTCCTCTGAAGTATGGGATTATAGGCATTCACCATCAAGCCTGGCTCCATACCGTGGAGGGTCCCCAAAACAGCTTGACCACACAGCTGCCATGTAAGGCTTAGGGGCCTAGACACAGCTTCTACACCCAGATCAGGAAAAGCCTTATGCTGGTACCACCCAGGGATCCACCCAGGGGTGAGGAAGTACCTGACATCCCAAACATTCCAACCATTAGGTAAGGTGGCCAGATGTCCCTGAGTCTAGCACACACCTATTTTTTGTTTTACAGATACCCCTAGACAATTGTTAGCCAATCAGGGTCCTGGACCCTGGGAATCCCCTCACCCCAACCTCTGCTATGATTAAAAACTCTGCCCCACCTGAGCTCAGGGCTCTCTGCTCTCACCGATGTGTTGGACAGGCAGAGGTACCAAGCTCTGAAGCTTGAAATAAAGGCTCTTTGCTTTCACATGTGGGATTCGGTCTCTGTGGTGGTCTTTTGGGGGATCCCTGCAATCTGGGCATAACACATACATGCTTTATAAAGTTTTGCATGTGTTATAAATCACCTGAACTTATTTTTCTTATAGGAAGCTATATTTCAATTATGTTCATTTTGATGTTATGTGTAAAAAACCAAAATGGAAACAGTCTATTTGTGGGAGTAATTAAAGTGAAATATGATGATGGAATATTATTTAATTGCTTAAAATATGGCTAAGGAGCCAGGCCGAAGTATCACATGCCTTTAATCCCAGCACTCGGGAGGCAGAGCCAGGTGGATCTCTGTGAGTTCGAGGCTAACCAGGTCTACAGAGTGAGATCCAAACCCTGTCTCAACAAACAACAAACAAACATATATATATATATATATATATATATATATATATATATATATATGGCTAAGGAAAAAAGATTGTTACTGTTGTGCCCAGATCGTGACCCCCAGAGAGACCACCAAAGACGAGCATGCTGGAATGCAAAAGCAAGGTTTAATTCTGGATATCCAAAAGCAATACAAGCCTAGGCAGGGACTTTGTCCAATACATCCAACGCAGTGGAGGCTGGAGGAAGCG